AACCCGAGTCGAGGATGGCCAAGCCTGGAGGATCTTGAGCGCTGGAGGCATAGGTGGTCTCCATGTCCAGGCGTTCATGGTCATCTGTGGCCTCGTGGGTCATGAGATTCTCGAAGGCCATGAGAACTTCAAAGTCGTGCAGCTGGACCATCTTAGGGTGGCCATCTTGGACAGAGATAGGGACCCGCATGTGACGTTGTGCCACCATTTCATCAGGGTTGGCTGTCCTCTTTGGTCCCGATGTTGCGCTGCCCTTCCATTGCCTCATGGTTGAACTGTGAAGCAGTCGCACTCTGCCGAACAGGTAGAAGGCGAAGCGGTAGGTCTCCGGTGCCATGGGCTGATCTTCAAGAGCCATCTTCATAGTTTGGTGGCAGAACACACTGGCCTCTGCTGATGAGGCAATGGAGGCATAGTCATACCCTTCATATGGTGTTCCAGGCCCAAAGACAGAGGTGTCGCCAGGAAGTGGCTGCAGGATGTCATAGTCAGCCTCGGCCAACGGAGGAAACATAGGCAGCTCAACGGATGGAGATATCAGAACGCCATATGCCCAAAAGCGTGGTTCAGGAGAAGCACCAGGGCGGACAATTCGTGCCGTAGCTGATGAGGACGATGAACCATCCTTGGATCGACTTGCGTGTTCCCAACTGGCTGTGCTTGGAGATCCAGGCTGTCGTGGATAGCCTTGTGGAGGTTGAAGTGCTTGTCGCTCCTCATCTTCAGCCAATGCTCTGTCTCGCGACTTGCAGACATTCGCGAAGAGCTCACGAGATCTTGCGGCACGTACCCAGTTGGTGCATAGTGCGATCTGAACCATGTAGCGCCACAGTTGAGAGGCGTCCTTGCACTTAGCCACAATGACTGTCTTGTCACAATCCTTGTCCTTGCAGGTCACATGTCGTGTGTGGCCATTTGCGCCTCGATGAAACTCACGTTCATTTCCACCAAAATACGAGCTGTGCTCACAGAGTTGGGTGTCCTTCAGCACCATCAGCACTTCGCGTGCTGGAATTGGAGAAACATGCATAGTGAAACTTGCTCCAGAAGTGGTTGCAGGTCCATCAATCTGGTAATTGCGCACGGAGTCGATGTAGTGTGGCAAAATGCTCACAGGCTCAGTGGGAACAATCACTGGCTTCTGTTCGACATCATTGGGTTCTTCCAAAGTGTTGCCCGGCACACTCTCAGTGATCTTCTCATCCGCAGGGACTTGCTTATTCTCAGAAAGGGGGGCATTCGATGGCAGCTCGTCAAAGTCAATGGCCTTGACATACTGAGGAGCTGTGTCATACTCAGGAAGGACGAAGGTGGCATTGATTTCCTTCTCATCATCGGACTCGATGCCTTCATGCAAGACAAAGAAGGTCGTCTTGCTGTCACTCTTCTTCTTCGGAGGAGAGAGTCCAGACCTGTGCGATGTCTGCTTCTTCTTCTTGGTGTTGGGACAGGCATCATCACCAACCCAATGGCCTTTCTGGCCGCAGCTCGTACAGGCGGTGACGGACTTCAGGAACTTGACGGCGGTGTTGCGTTGTTCCTTGGCCTTGGCATCGAAAGAGATGTCCCCTAAAGCTCGGAAGGGCAATGACTGCGATGAAGCTGGTGATGCCTTTCCTTTCTTGCCCTTTCCTTTTCCCTTGCCCTTCTTGAACTGCATGACAGTAGCCAGGGCTTCGGCCACCTCTTCATTGCCTTCAGATTCTTGGAAGTCTTGCGCAAGTGCCTCCAAACCATCATCTTCCCAGAAGGCTTCTACACCATCGAAGTTCGGTGCCTCATACTCTTCATCCTCGTCCTCCATGTAGGCCTCATCATCGTAGTACTCGAAGGCGTCATCGTAGCCCTCGATGTCAATCTCGGAGGTGAGGACATGCTGAGGTCGGCCACGGCCCTTGCCCGGCTTGTAGCCGCGGCGGAAGAAAATGCCAGAATCTCTGGCAGCTAGTAGAGTGCGGCCACAACCAAATAGGTCTCGTCGATGAACTGGCTTATCTAAAGCTTGAGGAAACTGAATCCTCATCGCATTAGCGATCTTCTCGAAATCGTAGTCGTTGTTCACCGAATTAAGGACCGAGACTTGCTCCTAAGGGCTAAGACCACCGAAGAGCAACAGCATCATCGCTCGGAGGTGCCACTGCCGACTTCTTCAAACCGTCTAAAGTCTTGTTTTCGGCGGATAATGTATTGCTACATCGATTCTTAGGATCGTTTCCACACCTAGGGGCTGTAAAAGGCGGTGATGAATAACTCGTTAATCTTCATAGGCTTGACAGCGACAATCGCTCCCTTGAGCGTCTCCAAAAATGCCCTCAATCCCTTATCGGTGGGATTGCCATCGGAGTCTTTCGTCTTAATCTTGGTATGCTCCAACTTTCTCACAGCCTCGTAAATCACACCACTCAACCCTACACGGAACGCAAAGTGGTGCAGGATTTTATCCATCTACTGTTTCGTTTCATTACTACAATTTCGTTTCAATAGTATTACTTTACCAAGCTTGTTGGATTAGCCATCTCTTCCATGCCATAAATCCCATGCCCTTTCTTCATACTCATCATAAAGTTCCGGGTCGCCGTTAAACTACGGCACACATGCCGATCAATATCAATGCGCTAAACCGTCAGATAGAAGACGACCAGGAGGGCGTAATGCAAGCGTGCGAAGTCCGGCCCGACAAGGGCGAGATCTCAGAGGCGAGCGGCCGTCGTCAGCCGCAGGCGAGAAGCGGCGATTGCCGGCAGCGCAGCAGCAGCGCGCAAGAAACGCCTCGCGAGAAGCGCCAAGCGAAAACCTATCACAAATAGGCTCCGCCTACCATCAAAAGCCGGCGTACGGCGACGCGGCAAAATAGCACCGGTTTTATGCCGAAAAGGGCGCCCTACGGTCGTAAGATAATGTAAAGCCACAAAAAAGGCTACAGGTAATTCATAGGGCCATACTTATACTACTACTATCATGCTAATTAAATTTACAATAAATATTCTACCAGAAAAATACAAAGCCAACAACGCAAAAAAAAGAATAAAAATAATTACAAAAAAATAATTACAGAATTTCGAGCCTAAAATAAAATTTAACTAATAAAATAATATATTAAATAAACTAAAAAATATAAATTAATAAACATAAAATACATACGAATATAAATAATAAAACCAACCTTAATTTATAAATTTATAAATCTATTACATCGTATCCCAAAACCTCCACGCAAAAGCGTTCCAAAGAACAATTAAATCCCCGTAGAAAAACCCCCTCTACCCATCAAATTTTCACATAATGCGGCGATCTCCAAATTTCCAACCCCTTACTTACTAAAATAAAACAACTCCAATTAATTAATACTAGCTTTCGCAATAAAACATAATATATAATGTTTATTTTATTTAATACCAATTTAATATATTCCTTAAATTCAGATTATTATATAGAATATATTTTCCGTAATCGACTACATCTATTTTAAATAACCGATCACAGCGAACATAAATTGCTCGCAAATAAATACACAACTAACGATTGAAAACAAAGTTGGTCCTGCGCTCCTTAAAGATCCGGACCATTTTCTTTATATCTCAGTTTTTGTTCATATTCAACTCCCTGAGTCATGCAATGACATTCAAAGCAAATAAGTCGGAGAGAATCTGCGTAAATTCAATCTCTGCAAGCCTTCTCACGTCCTTCCTACCTATCTGGGTGAGAGCGATGCACGTTCTTTTTTTGAACGTTCGACCTCCCTCCACACCACAACCTACTCCACCTCGCCAACTTTTTTACCTTCCATAACCTATGATCTATGAGGTTTCCACTGCGCGGTATGGCCCACTAAGCAATTATACCTATCGCAAAAATGACGGTCCCGACTTTCCAAAACCATGCGGTTCTTGATCATGTTCCGAGCTGCCTCTCGATCAGCGCTCTATTTTCGTTCTGCTCGCCTCCCCTCCAATCCGACTTCCCTCATCCTGATCTTGGAGCCAGCCATCGGCCTTCTCCCCTTTGTGGTTGCTTTTGCAATGATAATTTGTTTTGTACGACAACCCAGCAGCCTGGACCTTTGTATATAACAACCTTTGTACTAGAGGTCAGGCAGGAACACTGAATAATGTAAAAATCCCTAGGAACACACGGGTCTCCGTGTCAAACTCGTTGCTCTCGTTTACCCCACCTACATAACCCCCTTGCCCGTGAAAATTATCCAAAGGCCATTCCAACTACCCGTGTCATGATCGCGCAAATCACACTACCACTAAGGGCCGTGCCACGCCATACTGGCTGTTGCGCGGGGAGTACTTCTTTAAGGTGTTCTTTCTCTCTGCCCTCCGCTCAGTTTTGAACAATATCTTGGCCTGGTTGCCTGTTGACTCCCGGAACAACTTCAGATGGCTCAAGACCAAGTCCTCGCTGAACACCTCTTGTGCCTTCGTGTCCTGACATCGCAACACCCTTCGATATTACGAGTACAAGTACTCCAACGTCTCCGCACCAACAAGTCACCAGGCCCTGCTTTTGCTGGTCTGTTTCCAATCCCACCTCACCTCTGTCTCCACAGCCTTGGACACTTGCCAATGTGATGATGATTTCCCGAGCCGCCCCTGCATCTCGCCCCTTTTCAGTATGGTTTCCTTCCCCATCTCAGTTTCTTTATTCCTCTTGCGTGCGTCCTCAGTGTTTATTGTGTCAATCATCACCAATGTGGTGTCCCCCTGTGGTGTGTCTCTGATTTGTTTGCAACAACGGTGCACTGCAACAACGTACTGTACAAGAGATTGATCTGTCCAACGCAACTTTTGACACGCAATTCGTTATCACGGTGCTGATGTGCCTAGGGCCTCAACACCAAGAACGCACTTGAATTCGAGAAAGTTGAAGTGTAACCAACTTTGGGTTACTCAACCTCTCAGCCATCCTTCATCTGACAGCTTCGTTAGCTGATTGGCCATGTGCGATAGGATCCTCAGATGGAAACTGTTCCAATTCAAGGGTGCCACAGTGCCCTACAGGAAAGCATGTTGCTCTTGGCCTAAGTTGCAGGCATCAAATCTTTCACGCTTGCCCCCAGTTCTGGGGAGCGTGGTCCTCACAACTCCAATCTGCATCTTTACATGAGCTGTTGCGTTCCCGGCCATTTTCTGGAAGTTGTCCTTGTAGTGCTCTGCATGCAAATCACACCATCGTTGTACACCACATATGATGGTCCCAATGGCATCACCAGAGTCTTGGCTCACAAAATGCATGTAGATTGAAGGAGTGCCTAGCTTTAATTGAGGTCGTTGCATACCTCTTGAAGGACGGATCGCCAGGGATATACCTCCATTCAGCAAGCTACCATTTGGAGCTATCAAGAACACGTTCTTTTTCGGGGTTGTATACTCTTTAGGCGGCCGGTTGCTGTCGGATCCACGACCCCTGCCCCGGCTGGTGGTGTTCGGTGTCTCGTTCGTGTTTCGTTGGTGTTTTGGTTTCGTTTTGCTGGTGTCCCGGTCATGTTTTGGTGGTGTCTCGTTCATGTTTCGTTGGTATCTTGGCGTTGGTTTCTTGGTGTCCCGGTCATGTTTTGGTGGTGTCTCGTTCATGTTTCGTTGGTGTTTTGGTTTCGTTTTGCTGGTGTCCCGGTCATGTTTTGGTGGTGTCTCGTTCATGTTTCGTTGGTATCTTGGTGTTGGTTTCTTGGTGTCCCGGTCATGTTTTGGTGGTGTTTCGTTCATGTTTCGTTGGTGTTTTGGTTGCGTTTTGCTGGTGTCCCGGTCATGTTTTGGTGTTGTCTCGTTCATGTTTCGTTGGTGTCTTGGTCGTGTTTTGGTGGTGTCCAGGCCATGCTTTGGTGGTGTCTCGCTCATGTTTCGGTGGTATCTTGGCGTTGGTTTCTTGGTGTCCCGGTCTTCTCTTGGTGGTGTCTTTCTAATGGGATTGGGGGTGTCTCGGTCATGTGTCTCTGTTGTGTTTTGGTGGTGTGTTGTTTTTTGCGATGTTTTGGTCATGTTTTGGTGACGCGTTGGTCGCTTTTGCCGTGTTTTTGTCAAGTTTTGGTGGTGTATTGGTTCTGTTTTGGTGGTTTTGATGGTTTGCTTATGTTTTCGCTGTGTCTCGGTCTCAGTTTTGGTGCGTGTATGAACGTTGCGCTTGCGTGTCCATACACCTGGCCACATTGCGCGCAGGCGCTTGAAACATCAATTTGCGCTTGAAGGTTTATCTTCCAAACGCTGCTTTTTTGGCGGCAAATGATGCGTCGACGTGCAAATTAACCCAGCTGACAACACCAGTAGCAAAGCGTCCACCAAGATTTAGCACAATTTTTCTGCGCGTGTTGTTCGTTGCCCAATGGTCTACACACAAAATTACGCAAACAAATTCATAATCCAAGTTCGTATGTTCCATAGACCGCGAAGCGCTTAAGGAATGTTCGCCGACGGCTGAATTGTATGTTCAAGTGCTCAAGTGTTTGTGCGTGGTGTATACGTCTGAAGAGCCATTGGTACACGGTAAAAGCAACATCGCGCAAAGGAGAGGTGTGTGCGTGCGCGCGTATACTATATACCAACATTTCTCGCACATGCGCGCAAATTCGATTCGTGCAAGGAATGTAAGGAGTGAAAACTATACAGAAAAGAACAAAATATGCATTATCACTAAACCAGACAGAGAGTGCAATTACAAACGAACGTATAATTTGCACACAAAATGGAATTGTCAAAGAGACCATAGAGTAAGTTCTGGCACCAAAGAAGAAACGCTTTCGAATGAAGCGCCCGCGGGCAATGTGCGCCAAGTCTATGGACACGCAAGCACGCAGGTTTTCTGACCCCAAATACTGGCAAAAATAATGATGGTGGTTAGTTAGTAGTGGTATTCCAATAGATTGTTTTTCTCGCCGTTTCATGTCTGAGTTAAACGTGGACTGTCATTTCATGTTTTAACTAAACCCGGCCCCGATTGGACCATATTTATTAATACAACTATTGCTGTTTTCGCCGGGAACGAAACAAATCGATTGGACATTTTACAGACAGTAAAAATAGCAATAGGACTAATTGTCTTCCGGTTTTGAGCAGCCACTTCGTCCCATTGCTTCACCAAGGCTTCTAGCTTTTCCTGAGCCGCTTTCAATGTCTCGACTTCGCGCTTCAAATTTTTCGCGTGCTTCAGACACTGCTCTTTCGTTTCCTTCAAATCGATGATGTTGTGAATCTTTTCTTCTTTCGTCAGTCTCTCTCCTTCGTTTCCTTCAGGTAGTCGAGGAGCGAGTGTGGAGGGTAATGCTGCCGTCTGATTTGCCATTACCGGCGTGGTAGCTAGTGCCTCTTCGGCGTACTGCAAGATGACGTTCGACTTCCACCTGCCCAGGAAAGCCACCTGTGGGACGCGCCAACTCTTCCTGATGTACTGAAGAGCTCCTGAGCGTCTTGCCGAGTGTCCTGAAACCTTCTTGCCGAAGATGAGCCTCCATGATTTGATGATGTCGTCCTTCGTGGCTTCAATGCCATCGGATAGTAGGTGTGCCACCTGCGTGTCCTCGATACTCATGTCATCCAACGCTTCCTTGGAAATGGCAAAGGGGCAGGGGTTTGCGATTGAGCACTCCCCTTTGCACCTCAGGTACAGGGACGCTATCCTGTTGTCTTCTTGAATCTGAATGTCCTCCTTCATCACCAGGGCGAGTTCAATCTCCCGAAGCATCCATAGTGTTGCGAAGGCGAATAAAAGAGCTGGTTTGTGCACGTGCCCCCGTTCCGTCTGTTGGTTCGTCTCCTTTTGCTTTTCCTGTAGCCACGTCTCTTCGGCCACTTCTGCCGCCTTCTTCGTTGGGCCTCTCGCTCTCTTCAGTGCCCGGTTTACTTGGGCTTGAACTCGATCATGTTGTTGGCTCCACCATCCACCCCTTTGATCATCATCAGCTTGAGTTCTGCCAAGTAGGCGGGCCCCGCTTTGTATTGAGCTTCCTTCAATACAGCACCCACCTTCTCCACATCCTCAGGCTTGATGCAGGAGAGCTTCTGGTCCTTCAGTCCGATCTTGTCCAAAATGGACTGGACTGTTCTCCTAACCGCAGCCTTCGCCTTCCTGGAGGAGTTCGCCAAGAAGGACATCCGCAGTCCGCAGGTTCTTGATCGATTTCTTCCATTTGGTGTTGTCCTTGGCCAGGATGGCCGCCGCTCTGCTTGCGTGTCCTGGTTTCCATCTTGATCTTGCACCTGTGTCCACACCTTCTGGTCCTGCAGGTAGTTCCGGCAGATCATTTCTCTTCCTCTTTTGTCGGCTATGGAGGTGGTTCTCATTCACTTCGTCTTCGACCTTCTTCTTCCTCTTATTGCCCCGATCGATCCCTTCGTCGTCGCCTTGTGCTTTGCCTCCACTGCTGGGCCATTGTCTCTTCCTTACCATCTTCACCAAGCCATGCAGGGAGTCTGAGAGGGTCGCTGGTGGTAACGGAGGAAAGAATGCTTGTGTTTCGGCCGTGGATGGTCCTTCAAGTTCACCCTCCAACCAAATTTTCAACTCCTCGAGGTCCTCCCCTTCTCCCCGGCTTGGCGTTGGTAGTAAGCTATGGCTTACAGCTCCCTGGATTCCTTCGCATTCATCCTCCGTGTGACCAATCTGGCCATGCCCGAGTCTGCTCCCCTCACCATCTCTCTCCATGGGCGGGGATGACGAAAGTGCTGTCGATGCTGTTGGTCTCGAAGATGGGGGAGCTCCCTCCGTCTCCAGTCGTGGTGCGCTCGCTAGATCTGTGATCTCTGCCCTCGGGGGACGTTCTGGTGTCCACTCGATGAGGTTGTGCGGTGATAGGGCCATGAGGAAGTGTGGGGAGCTCCTTTCCGAGTCCAGCTCTGTGCCTGAATGCTCTAGCCTCTCGCTCGCCCTGTCCTCTTCGCCCCGTGGAGATCTCCGCGAGCCGAGCCATATTGCCTTCGTGCCTTTGAAGATGACGTGAACCAGGCAGCTGCAACGTAGTAGGAGGTAGCATTGGGCGAGACAGCCGCCGCCGATTAAGTACACAAACCCACCATGGAGTCGACCGGTCGAGCCTCAGGTGCACTTCTACGCGCGTAGGTCGCTCAATGACCTCCATCTTTGGTACGAAAAAGGCTGCGGTGCGACGACCGATCGGACCCGAAGGAGTGAGGTTCCAGCCTAACCAAACATCCCTTCCCGTCCTCGACATCCCAGCGCGCTTTTGGACACAGCTTCGCTGGATCCGTCTCTGTCAGTGACGGGGCGCCCAGGCTGCTGTGAGCGCTGTGGCTTCACCCCACCCTTCGGCTTCCTCTGTCGCCAAAGGTTCCAGGATGTACCACTCCTTGGGGCGTCCTGCCAGTGTCTCAATCTGCAGGCCCGAGAGCTCTTTGGGAAGCTCCGTGGTGGCCCAAGATTCCGGCTTCTTCGCTGTACCTGGGATGCGCACTGGTGTCAGCGTCGCCCCAAGAAGTTTAGGGCCCTGCTGCTGTTCGCAAACTTTTGGGCGATCGAGAGTGCTGTCACCGAGTCCGACTGGACGGTGATGGTCGCCCCGACATTGAGCAGCAGCTTCTCCCAGTGGCGGAGTGCCACCAGAATGACCAATGTTTCGACTATCCCCTGTGATGCAGATGACCCCAGCTCGAAGTTGAGCAGCTTTGAATCTTCCGCCGCCGTGACCGGCGAGGCTAAAGCCTTCGTCACTCTGCCATTGACGACGAGGATGGCCCCAGTCCGGAGGGTGATCAGGATCTTGGCCGAGGCTTGGTTTGGTTTCAGACTTGCTAATGCCGCTGCCAAGTACTCGACCAGCCAAGATCTCGCGTGCTCGATCCTCTTCAAGGGGATCAGTCTGCTTTTGTCCCGGCTGTCCTCCCGCTGCTGTCTCCTTGCTTCTTCGATGCCCTTCTCAACCCCGTCCTCCTGGTCGAACAATGCTCCATACAAAATGGGTGTTGTCCATCTTGCGCAACCAGCACTCCAGCCAACCATGAAACTTTTCCCGCTGCCTTTCGTAGTTCGCTCATGGCGATCATTCCCTTTACTGCCCAATCCTTCAGCTGGGCCTGGAGCTCGGTAAGGAACTTCTCGGGCAAGCTGATGAGAAGCGCCGAAGTGGGGTGGTTGCAGCTTAAACTCCACCCCCACCCAAGTGACTTGCATCGACCTCTCGCCCTTCTCCAGGTTGACCTTCAAGCCCAGTGAGGCCATTGTGGTGAGGATGCAGGACAACAACATCGTCCTTCTCTTCAACGAGCCTGC